AAATTTGAAATTGTCTCATCCCACCACTCATCAATCCCATCAACATTTTTTTGATCTGCATTTGTTTTGTCTCTTTTATAATATGCCAGATAGATGTTTTGTGCGTGAAAAAGAAAAAGCAAAAGTCAACACAGTTTTTCTTGAATAAAATTGATGTTGCTTGTGTTTATTGCAGGTACGGCTACTGTTGTTCTCTTTGTCTCTAATACCTATATTCGTTTTGGAAGGAGTACAAATGCAAATATGTACGCTTACAAAATCTTATATTTTGTATTATTTTATATTATTTACATTTTATATATTTGCATTCGTATTCCTTCTAAACTGAACCCCTTCCAAACTCAGCCTTAGTGTCTGGCATGGGCCGGCTGACGATATTTATTGTGACAATTATTAGCAATAGTTATCTGAGTGGATATAAGTTGAGTTTTTTGTGAGTTATTCGAGCTTGGTCCGATCCAAATCGAATTTAAAGCAAAATTCGATCAAAATTAAGCTTAACTTTTAAAGCTCGTTACATGATCACGATTCAAGACATAATATTTTTAATTTCTAATTTAGTTGAACACTTAGAAATTCAAAGTCCAAACCACCGTCTCAAAACAAACTTGAACTGAACTTGAAGTTTATGTTTTTCTGTCAGACCGAACTCAAATAATATAGATTGTGTTTGGTATAATTGCTGTTTGTTCATCAAAGGTTTGGGAATGATAGGTATAAATTGGTGTTGAAATATGAGTTGTCATGTTATATAATCAGAAAGGTTTTGGTTGATCAATACAAATTGATGTTGTTATTTGAAATATTAAGTCTAAACAGCAGTGATCAGTCCCCACATGCATTTTTCATCAGTTGAAGTGATTTTTTTTTTGCATAAATGACAATTCATCTTTTTTATCAATTTCTATTGATGAACTCCAAACCGTTTCATGAAAGAACTGCAATAATACCAAACATAGCCATAATATTCGGTTAAGCTCCCCCTGTATATAGCAAGCCACGGAGAGCAACCACACAAAACGATGGTCCATAGCCCAGCCATAGGTGTAGGTCGAGTCTATACTCTACAATCTATATACTAGTTTGGCTTAGCATAAATAACAAAATATATGTTAGCTTACACTAACGGTCTAATACAAAAGAGGTATTAGGGTTAGACTTCCGTTATGTGAGTGATGGTGAGAAATATCCAACTCTTAGGCATTAATCTGCAATAATGTTTAGATTAAGGTATTGGTTGTTCTCAAGGATATTTACACCAAACCCTAGGATTAGGATCCCAATGTCAAGTCAAGGCCACATGCATGCATTTCTCCTTCTTAGCCAGTAAGAACTTAGAACAAGAGTCTTGGGGGAAATTTTGTGTAGTCATTATTGGAAACAAGAAATAATAGCCAGTGTGGCTTTATGGCACGCAAGCTATAAGTAAAAGCTGTAACAAGGTCAAGTGGCAAGCCATATTGATTTTTTCATGGTCTCCCATGTGCTCACACACTATAGCATGTGTGGGCCACCTCCATGCTCCACCACTATTCCATTTGATGGTCCTCATCCCACACGGTGTACAAACTACAAAGACGACGGACAATTGAGATGTTTCCTATTTGTGGCTGTGATGTTATGTGGATGAGATCATTTCAGATTTTGGTCAGTTTAAGGAGTGGGCAGGCTTAAAATCAGCTCTAGAAACAATTTTGAGAAAAACAAAAAAAACTATTAAGTGCCAAAGCACCTGATATGTCTGTTTGTGCATGTTGGGTGTATCAATACTTCAAACCTTGGTAGCAACGGACAATTGAGAGAGAAAAAGGTGTTATGTGTTTTGGTTAGATATAAAAAATAATAGAAACAAAAAGTTGAGAAAAAAGTTCTTAATAATGAGTTTTACAAAGTGTATTAAGAACTTTCTCTCAACTTAAGTTTATACCTTCGAATCAAGCATAGTTTAAAGGTCTTCTCTAATAGAAGAGACAGAAATAGGGTATGTAATAGTGAGTTGATCCAATATCATGTATTATATCCATATTTAAGGTATGTAATAGTGAAGATAGAGAAGGGTGCATGTGAGGTCCACTGACCTTACCAAGTGCCTGCAGTTACGTGGATGCAGGTTCAAAACACCTGTTTAGAGGTTTTTTGAAAAACCATTTATTTATTTATTAAATAATATAAATGAATTTAAAAAACAAAAAAAAAAGCATAGGGTAATAACTGAATCTTGACGTGTATCAATACTTTAAATCTTGACGTGTATAAGAACTGAATTTAGCAATAAATATGACACTAAATAAAACATAATGGCGAAAGAGAATTATGTAATCGACCCCATATAGTTAGGATAAGGCTTAGATGATAAATTGATGATGATATTATTCAATTGATAGAAATTAAAAAATTGATAGATATGACCATAAATATAACAATTTATCCATCATATTTACATATTTGCCTATATGCTTATTAGGGTTTTAATCAGACTTATGGACAATCTATGTTCTGTTGCTTTTTTTTTTAAACTCTAAATAAATATCTATTTTATCTAATGTTTCTTGCTGACAGTTGACTGGTTTGAAGTGAAGAGTGAGGAGAAACGGTGGCAGCTAAAGTAAAACAAAAGAGGGAGAATCTCTTGGAAGTTTGGGCTTCATGCTGGCTGGTAAGTTGGTAATACATTTGTTCTTCCTCTTCTTCTACCCAAATCGAAGGCAACCTATTAAGCTCTTGGAAATCAGAGCCTGACAGAGCTTTGGCCATCTTCTTCATGGATTTGTTTTTAGGAAACACCCAAGTCAATCACAGAGCTCTAGTCATTTTCATCATGGAACTGAAGATAGAGCTCTGGAATCATTATTAGATATGGGTCCTAATCAGACTTGAATTTAACTGAACCCACTCTGTCACATGCCCTAGATCCAAGGCAACAAAACCAACCGAGGGCTGGCTCGTTGCTGTGGTAGTTTGTTTGTTCCAGTGTTGATTAGACCTGTTTATGGGCCGGGTGGCCCGACGGGTCGGCCCGGCCCGGTCCGACCCCCGGACGGGTTTGAACAGGATTTTTGGCCCGCGGGCTTAACCTCGGGCCAAAAAGCTCGGCCCGCATAAAATTCGAGCCGGGTTCGGGCTTTGCCAAAATAGCCCGACCCGAGTCCGGCCCGGCCCGACCTATAGTTAAACTTAAGTAAACCTAGCCCAACCTATAGTTAAACCTAAGTAAAAACCCTATGTGACGTCTATTTGAATAGATTTTTTGATTTGAGGTCATTAATTCACTTGTAGATCCATTGTTCATTTAAATAGGGGAAAAAAACATTTAAATTAAAATAGAAAAATGTCAGAAAATTTTGAATTTCTTTTATTAGGTTGGGCTTCGGGCTTTTTATCAGGGCCGGGCTCGGGCCCAAGTTGTAGGCCCATTGGTCGGGCCGGGCTCGGGCTCGGGCTCGGGCTCGGGCCTAACAATTTTCTATTAATAAAGAGTCAAAGCCCGGCCCGAGCCCGGCCCGGCCCATGAACAGGTCTAGTGTTGACGTGAAATCGAATCCCTCAACCGGCAATTTGGGAAAAAGGGGTCAAGGGGAAATTAATGGTGCATGACACCGAATATCAAAAAAAGGCAACAAACTAACAAATGCCTAATGAATTGGCTGATGAACCTAGGGTCTCGTGTCAAAGTACAGATACGGTTAAACCTACGATTTGGTTCAGTATTTAATTGAAGAGTTGTCATTTTCCCCTCATGGAGCCATTAGATTTGCAAGATTCCATTTCCCATTCACCGGAAGACCCCATATAGCTGGGACCAAATATTGGGTAATGGTCTTTTCTGGTCCAAAGCATCAGGTTTTAGGTGATCAATAAATTGGTGGAGAAAATGAATCCCACCACCCCTCTCCCCCATTATTGCAAGATGCTAAGTTTCAATGGAACGACCCCACTTGTGGTTGGCTGCACATGGAATTTAGGAACCTAGGGTGGTCCATAAGCACATCATCCTTGCCCTTCTCCCCCTCCTTTGAGGCACCGAGCTTTGATCTTGAATTCTCGATTCAAGCTCACGGATTAATTTATTATTACATCAACTAAATAGAAATGGAGTTGATCCAAGACCTAGCTGTCCATCTTGATGTAAGCCCCTCTAATGTAAACCATACCATCGTCGTCATCGTCTGCGCCTGCCGGCGACGGTGGTGGTGGTGAAGATAGAAACAACAGAATTATCTATTGGCTGGCTGCCCGGCCAAAGCCAAAGACTAGCTGCTCAATATATGATTGATTATCAACAGTAGGTGATTTGGGCGACTGAGAATTGTTAGTAAGAAAGCTCAGAAGAGGCCCAAGAACAATGTTGAAAGCAGATGCTTGAAAATTGAAGATCTGATCATTATCAATAGATGGCGTTGGAGACCTTTTCAAGTGAAACACCCTTCAATGGTGGGTCCAACCTCGAGTCCTGACACTGCACCAACCCCATTTAATGAGTAGCCCCTGATCCAATCAGTCAGGCACAGGCTCCCTGCTTGAAATTAAGAGGAATAGTTCTATTCAAAGAAATATTAACACAAAACTCTGTTCATGGTCTACTCTCTTGAGAAAATGGTTTGGGTCAATGACCTGAGCCGGAAACCACCACCATTAAGAAATTAGCAAGAACTAGTGGCAATTAACCCTAGTTTACTTAATTGAACAAGGTGGATTAAACAATTAACACCCATGTCAGACATTCTTCTTATATAATACAATTATAGAAGGAAAGAAACAAAGAATATGGGACGCGAGAGAGAGAGAGAGAGAGAGAGAATCCAATTCAACAATGAACACTCATTGTCGCCCCTTGTATGACACTGCTCACTACCGGTGTTACATTTTTTTTTTTGGTAAAAACTGCTGGTGGTCCATAAGAATTTGATGATGGAATTCCAATTCAACAGCTCCCCCCACTCAACAAAATTATCTTTTTATAATTTAATAAACAAAATTCATGAACGCCAATGACCAATCTGTAGAGCAATCAATGGATTTACATTCACGAAATCCACAAACCCATGATCAATCAATGAAATGAACCCTATGACCATGTCTAGTTGTATTCATCTATATACATAGTATGCCAATAATGGTAATACATGATATATGTATTCCAAAGAACAGAGAAAACATTCCCATAATAGCCCATTTTCTCCACACACAAACAAACAAGCCCCAGAAAGAAAACACAAAGAAAACAACACGAAATATGAAATGCTAGTGTCATAGAATGGAATGTCACCAATAAGGCATCAGAAAACGCTAACATACGCCGGAGTCATTCGTATTCATCTCTCCATTACCATAATTTGCTAAATAGCTATCAGATCAGATTTGTAGAGCAGCTCCACCAAACAAAAAAGAAAATAAAATAGATTGAAAACAAAGATAAAAAAGAAACAAAAGGTGTTCTTTCCCATCTTTTCTTTTTCTTTTTTTTTTTTTTCTGGTTTTTCTCCTACTGAAAGGTCGAACCTGGTGTGTAAATGGCGAGATCAGGCCACCCATTTCCGCTACCCCAACAGCTGGAATCGCCATCCTGAATGCCCAAGAAGCTCTCTTGATTGTTGTTGCCCTGCAACTCTAAGGTGGAGTTTTCAATTGAACTTGAATTTGAATTCTCTGCGAATTCTCCAAACTGCAACGTGCGAGTACCCGAGCTGCTTGGATTCAAACCGTCTAACAGGTTCCCCATTTGCCCATTTGAGGCCAACAGTGAGCTGAAACTCCCTGAGATGTCGAGCATCCGGCGATCATGATCGATGGTGGTTACCGGCGGGCTGAAAGTTCCGGTAGGCTCTGGCTTCGGAACTGCTGCGTTCTGGGTTGAAGAAGACGACGTGGAGCGTTTGGGGTTGGAGGAACGCTTCGTGTTCTTGCGACTGCCACCACCAACTGGGATGTTACGGAGGGCGCCGCCTTTAGTCCAATAGCGCCTGCAATTCTTACAGAAATGGCGAGGTTGGGAGAGATTGTAGTTGTTGTAGTAACAAAATTTGGTGTTGGTTGAATCACAACGAGGGCATTTGAGCTGCTCTTGCTCCGGAAAATGGGGCTTCACTGGTTGAAACGTCGAGGGATCTTGCATGTCTTTTCAGAAATGAACGGAGCTCTTAATTTAGATTTCTGTTTCTTTGTATCTGTCTGCAGGGCCTTACGAATATGAAATGGATCGTTTATAATTGGTTTCTGGAACTGGGTTTTGATTCTTCCATGAATTTGAATGATAAAACCTCTTGTTCTCGTATAGAGAAAGATGAACTGGGTCTTGAGAAGGAAACAGAGACAGAGGCAATTAATAGAAAGAAGAGAGTAGAAATGAAAGAAACTTAGGAAAGAAGAAATAGAAAGCTTGGAAGATAGGTGGTGGAATTTTGGAGAAAAGGAGAGACACAGTGAAAACTAGAAATAAAAATCAGAATTTTCTGGTGATGAATTTCAATGGAGGCAACAACAACTGTAAAACTTCAGATTTGTCAAATCCAGCAGAAAATTTGAGGTCTCAAAATTTGATTTCCGTGCAATCAAATCCAAAGAATCGAGAGCTCAACTCCTTACCTGGATATGAAACCAGCTAAAGATTAGAGTCGGAAGAAGCGTGAGAAACAGGGAGACTGAGAGAGTTATTGGGGGCAAAAATCGTGGGGGGGGGGGGGGGGGACGATCTAATCTACGTAAACACGTGTGAATGAGAGTGAAAGGTCAGAGTCGCCACTCGCCAGTGATCGGACTGCTGCCCTTCACACGGAGGATAGAAGGAACAAGGAAGGAAGAACGAATCCCAGTTCCTAACCCAACCCTTCCTATATCTACCCTCTTGTCTTCTGTTCTGTTTTGTTCTCTCTCTCTCTGGATTCGTGAATTTTCTGGCTAAAGCCTTAAGCCTTCTTGTGCTCTTAATCCAGAATTAGTGATCCTGATTGAAGGGTGCTGTGCAACAGGGAACCTTCATGGGGCACCCACGTGGCCTCATCATAATAAACATCAGATGCCCCCTTAACCGTCCGTCCATATATGGTCCCACCTAACCATCTGATTGGCTGTAAGATATGTTTAAGGTGGGCTCCAGTCGATTCTAGGGCCTAGGCCCCAAGGAATAATGGCTTGCTGCACACCATTCCTTTTATTTTCTACCCATTTAACTTCTTCTATCTCTCCATAATTAGGACTAGTGATGATTCAATGAACACCCTCATTGTCTCATTGAAACATTGAATCACCCACCAAACCCTACTAACTAGAAACTAGGGTTTCCTTCTTCACAAATCTATTCATGAAGATTGGTAGCATAGCATAATCAGTCATTAAGTGTTTAGAATTCTCTAGGGTCCATTACGAGTAGAACTGTGGAGGATTCGAACTCGTATCATATAGGCTATGGTCCCATATCATGATATTAAACATTAAAAAAATATTTATAATTATTTTCGTGATAAGACTCCACAATGGGTAAAAAACCATATAATATTTGAAGATGTTTATCGGTAGTAATGGACCCCACTCGGCCCATAGAGTGTATCTTTATTGGTCTATCTCGACATGGGTTGGTGGGCCACTTGGTTGAATGCCCAAAAATCCCAAAGTCCAGCAGACGCTGGGTAGGGGTACTGACTCATTGAGTTGAGAACGGGCAGAATTGTGGAGTGACAAGATTGTCAGAGACAGGTGTCAAGACCTGAACGAGCCAAGCAAGCTCAGTAGGAATAGTGTCAATCACGAGATTGCGTGCAACTTAAGCAACCTCCGCCAGTGAGAATAGATTAGATTCTAGGATGAATAATCTGGGCCGTAGGCTAGTAAACGGTCAGCATTGGCCGTTCAACTGTCGGATTATGGGTGGGCATTAGTAGTGGAAATATTGAGCTGCCGTCACCCACGTTAAGCCCCATTACTTCACCAGTGAACGTACTCACACCTGAGTCTTATTTGGGCACATCCCATTTTTTATCAGAGCAGAGAGCACCGAACACTAATCCCCCAACTAATGAATACGATATGATTATGAATGAAGATGCCTGGATATGGACAATAAAATGAAGATGCTCGGGCTGCTATAAAGTGCTAATGCATCGTGAATAACAGAATTTCAGGCTATTTGTTAAGTTTTGTCCCAAAGTAGTCTATTTACTCCTTACGACCTTACCCCCCTCTCTAAAACTCACCATAATTTTTTAATATTTCTTTTAAATTTATCATAAATTTTTAAAATGTTTAAAATTCATCATATTACTAACTTGATGTTAAATAGATTAACGTGAGTTAATATATTACCATTTTATTCTTTATAGAAAAATATAAAATATATATATATATATATCTATATATCTATATATTTTTATATTTTAACTGCAAAAACATGAAAAAATGTTCAAAAAATATTTTCAAATATAAAATACATTAAAACACAAAAATTACAAAAAAAAACTATAGAAATTGAAAAACAAATTCAGAAAATAAAAATTGTAGAAAAAACAAATAAAATTAAAGAAAAACACAAAAGTTGCAAATAAATAACAAAAAATACAGAAAAATTTATAGATTGTAGAAAATAAAAAAATGTAAAAAAACAGAAATTATAAAAAACATTGGAAATTATAACAAAAACTAAAAATGCAAAAAAAAAAAAAGAAAATAGAAAACCAAAAACTGAAAAAAGACAAAAAGAACTCGAAAAATACAAAGATTGGATAAAAACAGAAATCACAAATATACATAAAATGATAAAAATTCAAAAATTACTATATTATAGAAAAAGTAAAAATTGTAAAAACAAAAGAAAGTGATAAAATTTTCAAGAAGATAATAAAAATCTACACAAAAATACATAAAATGATAAAAATTAAAAAATACTAACTAAAAAAGCAAAAATTAAAAAAAAATCATATCCTTTTGAATTATATATTTTAGAAAAAATAAAAAATTACAAACTAATAAAATGATAATTTTTTTTCAAAAAATAAACAAAAATTAGACATTGAATCCGAAGATTATTGCAACAAAATTTCAAAAAAATATTTCAAACAATTAGATAAAAATTTACAAAAATATTTTTTTTGCATAAATTTGTAGAATCATCAATGGGGATTTACATTTCTGATTCAAAAGAATATATTGCAAATGTTTAAAACATAAAAAATCTTTGAAATTTCTGATCGTCACCTAAATGATCTTTTGCCCTAACTTGCCGTTCAAGGGTAATTTGGTCATAAAAATTATTATTTATGCTGGCATGGCCATTTCTGTTAAAACATTAATGGTATACTAACGGAAGATGAATTTAAAAAATAAAATTCACTGACATGGGGTTCCCTGCAAGTTTTGAAAAGTTATGATAAATTTAAGAAAAATATTAAAAACTCATGATGAATTTCAGACAATTTCCCATGTAGAGATAAAGACGATTAAGTACTAAAATCACTATCCCGTACGGTTGTCTGACTGGGTTTGTATTTGCAGGGAGAGAAACACTGAATGATGGTTCTGGTTTCTGGTTCTGTTATTAGTAAGCCAGAGTCCAGACCCCATCTGAGAAACAAAGCATGGCAGAGCGTGGTACCGGTAGTGGTTGGGTCTCAGACCCACTTCCAGTTCCAGTAATCCGGTCCAAGTCCAGGGATCGTTGGTCTTTCCATCCTTTTCACTCTTATCTGTTGAGAATGGGACCCAGTCAATAGTCATAGTAATGGCAGTAATAAATAAATAAAACCTTTATTTAATTTAAGACGAAAGTTCGTTGAAACAAGTCCCGAAAGTCCACTTCCGTCTACTGTACCACTGCGTATAGTGACTCTAGTCTTCAGTGTCGTGTCCATCCATCCATCCATCCATCAATGCAGCGCTCATTGGGTCTCAGTTGGCGTGCTCTCTCATTCTTTCCTCTTGACTGACACAATAATCCATGGTAATCCATCCTAAAGCACACGCCTGAAACTTGGTGTACGCAATTGTGCTCTGTGCTCTGCGTCCTGTACAATTAAATTCCATATGCCTCGGTAAGGCTAGCTGTGTTTCTTTATTAACTTCAGACTTACGTGGGATTATAGATGTTTTGTAACTTGCACCATTCCCTTCTTGGGCTCTTCCCCCGGGATTCCAACTGACTTAGTTTTGAAAAACAAGGGAAAAATTAAAACGAGAAGAACAAGAATAAATCTCGTATCTGAACTGATGTGGAATAGGATTGGAAAGAATAAGGTGATGACTGATGAGGTCAAGTAGATATTCTTCTCCGGCTCCATGATGTGATGATGAATGAATGGGAATAGAAGAAGGTTCCCTTCTTTTTCTCCTGTCTTTCCATGTCTCCAGAAAATTTCTTCCAACCACTAGATGAGCTTCTTTCTGCGCAGAATCTATTCTACGTTCCACTTAATTAAAGTCGATGACTTGTCAGAGATACGTTGGAGTTATTTTGACTTAACGCACATTTTGGGTCCATCTTTCATAATGGAGTTTAACATGGCAGAGAGTAGAAGTGTATAACCGCCAAGGAGAGGCCACCTCCGGGGGGCTGTCCGATGACGACTTGCGCAACTGTCTGGTGGCATCTATCCAAGTTCCAAGAGGAGGCGGCACAGATGAAAAAAGAAAATCACTACACCAGCTGGGTCAAGGATGTCTCTCGTATATGGCACCTATGAGGCCCGTCCCGTGTGGACTCCTGGCCAACACAACCCACGGAACAACCTTGGCTTTCAGCTGGATAAGTGGCCCTGCCGACGACCGCAAACAAGGGCGATCCACTTGCTTAAGTGCTTGGGACTCTGGAAAGCAGAGCAGAGCCCGCAAGTATATAAGCTTCAAAAGTACCAAAGACATCCTCCTAGTGAAACCTGAATGCTTAATAAATTGGCTCGTAGAAGTATGAGGATCCCTCTGAACTATAGCAAATGATAAATGAAATTATATACAAAATCAGTTTTAAATTTCAGCTCAAGCACAGCCTGTTATTTTACGGCATATTTCAAAAGTAATGCAAAAATCAAATAGAAATAACAGGAACCATCAAACTTTAATATCACACATTCAAGTGCTGGACTATGGTGCTATACTGCTATGTACATTTATATTAACATCAATGTCATTATCTCAGTACTCGGATCAATCATCTGATTATTATAACCTTCCTGTGCAAAAGAACCCCTGATTAACACCAAAATGTAGTGAAATGAAATGGAAACTTACTCATCGCTTGCTTGACCTGAGAGAATGAAAGTGGGCTGCAAAACTATCATAATCTGGAAGCTTTGGATGGACATGGCTTGTTTTCTTTACTGAATCTTCACTGCTCTTTGATGGTACTTTCTTTAGAAGAGGATTTGGCAACTGTTCCACTGCTGAACTCAGTTGTGATGAATCTATGCTTCTTGTCTTAGGTGCTGAGAAATTGGATTCCCTCATTGGTTTAGAAGTATATTGTTCACTAGATGGGTAATCCCTTGGCAACATAGGATCATCTCTGCTCCCTGAACTTACCGTCTGAGGTTGTAACTTGTTAACAGGTTCAGCTTCATAGGAAGCACTTGATTCCTTGGTAACTGAAAACTTGGACTCAGGTATAGACTCAAAACTTTTTTGTTCAATTGGTTTATTAGTTCTTGGCAACTTATGAACATCTCTGCTTTCTGAGCTAGTCACCTGAGCTTCTTTTTTATTGGAACCCCAAGCTTCCTTGTGCACTGAGAATTTGGACTGTGGCATAGATTTAGAAGGTTCTTGTCCACCTAATATATTTGCCCTTGGAGTCCTAGGATCATCTCCTAAGCTCATAGCCTTGGGTTCAGACATTGCAGGAAGCTCATCTGCAGTGGAATCCCATGAGGACAGTTTCTTTCCAATCCCAAACTCGGAAGCAGCTGGCCCCTTAGATCCAACCGTAAACTTCGCACCCCTACCTATTTCAGATTCATTAGGAGAATCCTTTGTCCTGCGCGAAAGTGTGCTACCTGTGTAGTTCCGAATGGTTTGGTGGGGAGTTTCCTTTGTATCATCACTATCTGAATCAAAATACGCTCTTGAGGTTCTTACACTTGACTTTTTGTGAACTTTGTTATGCATTTTCTGACTGTTTGTCTCTTCATCACAAGGTTCAGACTGTTTAGGATAATCTTTTCTTCGGTGAGAAAGTCTCCTGCCCATATAACTTTCCTTGTGGGGTACTTCCTCAGTATCACTACTATCTGAAGCAGTATATGTTTCTGAGGCTCTTGAGCTTGATGCCATATTAACTTTTATGTGCATTTTTTGATTGTGTAATTCCTCATCACATGATTCAGAACTGTGTGTATTCGTAATTGCAGAGGAAACAATTGGTTGTTTAATGGTTGGAGTATCTTCTGCTTGCTGTTGAGATAGCAATGCAGAATTACCTGAGGAAACCTTGGTGTAAGGTGGACGTCTGTAACCCTTATTTCGGAGGCCACCAGTTAACAACCCAAAATTCAACTCTTGCCCACTTTCAGAGCTAGATAAATTTGAAATGTCTGGGCTTTTTGTAATATCAGGCGCCTGTTCTGAACCAAAACTTTCATGAGCTTTGGCCTCCTTGGCCAGTGACAACTTAAAAGATGGCAATGGCAATTCATGGTCCAAATTATCCAAATCTCTTGGGGAGCTAGTGTGTCTGGGTGGTGGCTGCTTGGTGGGAGAGTTAATTTGGCCATAATTCTCCGTGGACCTGCCTACATGCAGATTTCTTTCTTCTCTTCTCCCAATGTGGTCTTCCTTGGAGTCTGAATCATCAAAAGAGGACTCTATGATAGGTCTTCTATTCACTCCCATGTCTTCCTTTACAATAGTTGATCCTCTTGATATATGAGTCCTAGTGCTTGGTGCTGATTTTCTACTACTGATGAAGATATTCTGACCATGAAGCCAAGTGCTAGATTCTGTTTTTTCATAAAGTTCAAAATTATCCTTCTCCCCTTCACTCTCAGAATCCAGAGTGTCTGAATTATCATATGTAACAGGTAACAAGTCATCAGATTGAGAAGGAGCTTCAGATTTTATCAGTCTATCAGAATGTTCAGAAGGGGAGTGTGGTTCCACAATGAAAGGTGATTCTGCAGTGGACTCCAAAGACTCACTCTTGTTTTTCCTAGGTCTCTGAGCATTTGTAGTTGCCGAAAGAAGAGAATAGGGTTTCCTACCTGAAGAATGGGAACAAAAATCAGATACATGTCTATTATAGTTGGGCTTAGCCTCAAAATGATGGTCATCATCTGAACCATAATCATCAAAAACTGCAGGAGGATAACCAGCGGAGTCTAAGGGATTAGTGCCTCTTTGCATCTCTTGGTCAGTATTAATGAATGACCATTCACCACCATCATTCTTGTACTTTCCAACATCATCATTGCCATCATCATCAGAAGCACTTCCATGGGAATAAGAGGATATAGAACTGCTAGATCTCTTCTTGAAACATTCTTCTCCATAATGGTTTGTATTCTCAGTTTTCTTACTCTGTTCCTGATGGCTCCCATTATATACCTCAGATAGGGTAGATTGCCCTTTGGTACTTACTTCACCAACTAAATTATCCTTGGGTTTTCTGCCATGCCAATTGGGGTCAGTTGCCACGGTTCCAGGTGACCTGTCTTGAGAATATCTTTCTCCTTTGCTGAAACTAGCCATGGATATATCATTGTCAGCAGAAGCAACACTGGAACCTGAGGAAGCAGACCGACTAGAACTTCTCTTTGAATGACCATGACCTTCATACACACTTTCAGTGGCTCCTGGCAAGTTATCTTGCCTGTTTATTTCTCTTGGTTGATTTGGTACACCTGGATTCATGTCATGGGAGTTTTCTGATGAATTATGCACCATTGTTGGCGACTCCCTGGCAATAGGGTCTTCTTGCAACTTTTGAACAGTTGAACTTCTAGGTCCACCATCTCTCAAGCCATAACCAGATACCCCTTGTGATTCTGAGGAATACTGTCTTGAAAGTTCTGCAGCGGCCCTGGCAGCAATACTAGCTCTTTCTGCAGATTCAGCCGCTGCCTGTGCAGCTGAAGTTGCATCTTTAAATTCCATATTCCAGTTGTGCTTGTGAAATTCTCGCCCCTCAATTCCACTTTCTGTAAGATTAGAAAGACAACAAAAAACAATAATGAAATCATGCAAGCAATAGATAGAAGAATTGATGCAACAGGCTCCCATTGTCCAAAATGAAATAACTGATCATCAGAAACAAGATACATCTGATTCGCATACCTGAAGTTGTAGTGGCAGGAACTGTTGTGTAAAGAGTACTGGTGTTTGTAGGAACATAGGCATGTGAACTCAGTGATAACCTGGTTACATTGTTATCAGGGATGTTCATAGTTGATTCTTGCTTCAGGACAGGGTTAAGAGGTACATCAGGAAGTTCCTCATGCAACTTACTGGCAGCCTCAAATGTACTTGGCCCATTCTGCTTTACATGGATTAAGAAAGAGAATACTAGTCTTCAACTCTATAACAATGAAATGTCAAGCAAACAATGATTTTGTTCTCAAGTAATATTTCTTACCAGCAAATCCTCAGGAGGTTTTGGATCTTTCTCTTCAAGCCTATTAGGATCCCAGTCAATGTTATATTCCTGGGCAATTGAGGTCAAAATCTTAATCTTCAACTGACCATCAGGTGCTCTTGCAGATAAATTCTCAACCAACTGAAACATAACAGCATAAAATCCTGATTAGTTGAGAAAGATAACAAAGTTAAATTCCTATTTGCTTCTTTTGAATGTTAAATTTGAATTTCAATTAACAGGGATTGCCAGGAACTACACAAGCTTACAGTACGGTTTACACCACATTCTGGATGCAGCTCAAGGGCTGAAGCAACAAATTCTTTTCCATATTTTTTTGTGAAACGCTTGCAGACATCACTGAGTTCTGGTACATCCGCGCATCTTTTGGATGCAAAAATTAAACTAGATATTGCTTCCTTCAAGTCAATGGGGCAGTTTCTGGAGACATGAGAGAGAAACCAATAAATTTCTAAACCATATCTGGTAGTTGTAGACTTATCTTACATGATTCTATTATTAAAGACTGAGTTAGGACTGGTAAGATTCAGCTCTATATCATAATATGCAAATACAGTTTCAAAGATGAGAAAGATTCAATGAAGGCACCAACACCCAACTAACCAATTGAAAAGGAGGTCACAAACTGCACGAATTAATACAGCAATTAACAAAGCAGATGCCCTATCCAGTAGGATTTCCTTCATTGAAATTTAACGTGAGGGAACAAAGTAAATAATCCCAACACTGGAAGTCCAGTTATCAGAAAATTTGATTTCCCGCAGTAACACAACCATTAGTAACTATATGAGGCCCACCTTTGTTATTTGACATAGCAGTTGCATTCAAATTCTTAGGAAAGCATTTTGCAAAATTTCAAGGCAAAACATATGCACAAGGCAACAAAGATAATCTAAAGGCAGGGGAATATCACACATGGTAAGAGAGCAAGTTGCTAAGAAATGGTGCATGTAACTAATGATGGAAGTAGCATATGGAGCAAATAATGTAACTCACGCACTTCCAAAGTCATGGTTCAGAAAGATACTTATCCTTCCTTCAAAATCTCTTACCTCCAGTAGGCCTGCAACTTGGGCTGGGTTAGCCTGAAACCAAGCTGAAAAAGTTGGGTTGAAGTTCCAGTTAGGGTTAGGTTGAAAAATATGAATCTGGCTTAACTTCATATTTGTATGCATAAATCTATGCTTCCAGAAGAACTTTGATCAATCAAACCCTCCCGTGAATTTTGATATATACCACCTGATTGGTTACCACTTTTATGACACCTGTTGATTGGTAAAGAGTTTTTCCAGAGTCATAGTTGAATCCAATATTGTATAAACATTTATTTATCTATACAAGTACTTATTTATATATGTATGTATGCATGTGGCATGTATCCACATGTGCAACTACATACAACTGTGTATGCATCAAGGATTTAAATATCAGATTAGGGTGATACAGGATACATTACGAATGGAAACGTATCCTGCAAATCACGCGTATTGGACCGATACGGGTGCGTATTGGCCCATATTGCATTGTATTGACTGATACACACTGATACCAACCGATACACAGCATCTTCGATTAAAAATCAAAACACTGCTAATTGTGTGATTTGAACTCGAAACTCCATGCATGAGGCGCCGAAAGCCTTAAACTTGTCATCAAACCACTAAGCCATGCCATGCATTATGATATTTAACGAAATAACATGATTTTTATTAATGTCTATCCAAACAAATAATCAATATTTATGTTTAAGAAATAACTCCAATTAAAAATTAAAATAAATAATATTTAGAATTAGTATTTCATAAACAAATGGAATAAATAATCTATCAATTCTATATTTACATGAAAAGATGATTTTAATCTCAAGAAACTTATGAAAATAAAATATTAATAGTAGAATAATTACCTTATTACTTATAATTTATAAATTTGCACACAATATATATCTTACAAATTTTATATATTTTTATAATTATTAAATAATATTTTAATTTACATTAAATGACAACATACTTATTATTTACAAAAAATAAAAATTTGTTTACAAAATATTCAAGAATATAATATTAAATTGAATTTATCAAATCCACTAATTTACATTTATATGAATAATTGATTTTTAATTTCAAAAAAATTATACAAATAAAAATTTTAATAATGAAATAATTATTTTAATAATTAAAAATTATGAATTTGCATATGGCATATATCTTAGAAACTTTAAAACCAATTTGATATATTTTAAGTTAAAATGATATATTTTTATAAATTATTAAATGATAATTTAATTTATATTTGAGAATTTAATATTTGGTTAACTTTTTTATTGTTAATGTTAAAAAGTAAAAATAATAAAATAGAAAATAATTGATATAATAATTAGGATAAATATAATAGGACCATCTTGGACTCTTAACTAATGCATTGTATGATATCTATACATTCTGCTATTAATTATAATATATTTTTATATACACCATTAAATATGCATTTCTTATATATTTTATACATTATTTATGGCTATTTGACCATAAATTTTGTGTTATTAATGTATTTATGAAATTTGCATGTGTTTCCCTAGTGTATCCAAGTGTTTTCATATTTTTCATCCGTATCCATGTGATTCCAAAGTGTATCCGTATCCGCATCAGTATCCAAGTTGTCCGATATGATACTCGATACCGATACTTTAACCCTTGGTATGCATGCATCCATACAACCATGTATGTGCATGGTATGTATCTATGGATGCCAAACAATTTTACATTTAAAGGCAAAATTTTTCAAAAGCATGATAATACTTAACAGCCTCTCTGTATGTGCAGGGGTAAGGCTGCGTACATTTGTCCCTCCCTAGACCCCACATTGGTGGGAGCCTCGTGACCTGGGCTGCCCATGATCACAATGTTCTTTTACATATAATAATGCTAAAACCGAATTTACCTCAACCCATGATTCTAGGAAATAAGAACATTTGTCCAAAGGAGTAGAGATGTCAGGCCAACCCGAACCCAACATGAGTCCAACCCTGGCTTGAATGGTTGCATCCCTAACCCCCAGCCTACCTGTGGTCAAGTGAAAAGCAAGGAGTCATCCATATCAAGTTAAGTGATAGTGGCCCTTGATCTTGATTCTTGAAGCTTGATTGTAGAGGAGCAATAATTTTAACTTTCGCAGCTGCAGTATGTGTAATTCTGGCCCCTTGGGTATTGGAGGCATTTTGAGACATAGTAGAGGAGCAATCCTAGCCTTGTTTTCTGGCCCCATAGGCAATGGGAATTTGACAAGAGCTAAAGTAATAACTGTGCTTCAAGGTTTATGGCAAAGCCCCTTGATCTTGATTCTTGAGAACTTGATAGTGGAAGGTAATTGTGGGATGGTTAAAAAAGGGACAAGTATTACTTGGCAATACTATACTATTTTGACGAAGATAAGAGAGCTGGGAAGGAATCTGCACTCAGAGTTCAATTGGGTACAAGGTCTGCAAATGCAATTGCTGATGGCTTAGCTAAATAAGGGATAATCAGGCAACAACTATATTGGAGGAGAATACCCAAAAAAAAAAAAAACAACTATATTGGAGGATAGTAGGGGATCAAAATGTAAGCTAGCTCTGTAAGAAATTGTTTATGGGATGCTTGGCATATTACATGCAACAAATTCTTTATTCTTTCTACTAATCAATAAAATTTAAGTTACTAATAAACAAAGAAATAAACTTAAATATATTGTTATATACAGATATTGATGATAACATCTATAAAGATAATAAATACATAAAATGGGAACAAAAAGGCAGAAGAATATAGTGATAATTTCTAATAATATGAGACAAAAAAGATGAACAAAGAACAACACTTGATGCACAAAATGAGCCCACTAGTATGGAGATGCCACTTCTCTAGAAAATTTAACAAGCAGAAAATGCAAGTGTCCAAGCTGGGGTGCTCAACAGATAAGGTCATGCAATACATACTTCTGTGACTCAATTATTGGCAACCGTGCAGCAACAAGTTCACAATAAATCTCAATAAGATCATATGCTGCCATGGTCTTCTCTTCCCTCACTACATGTTCAACCTGAAAAGAAAAGCATCATCATCATCAAGCCTTATCCCAACTCAAGCTGAATCAAAGAAAAAAAAAGGTCATGACTTATGCGATGGGGATATTTGCAGATCCAGTCTCACTACATGTTTGTGACAATGCCAGTTCATATACCAAAATATTAACAAAGACTCATATTATGAATATTAGATACGAATATTCCAAATGGAGTCCATGAATACCACCTAATAATGAACTAGAGGTTACATTGAGAATGCAGTGAAAAACATTGTTTTATTTTTGCTAAGCCACTTTATTACTAAATGCAAAACCCAATGGATTATATGCTTGCTATCATGTCACAACATACACCTCCAAAAATTCTAAATCACATACAAGACTACCATTTGCAGATTTTCATATATAAAATAAATAGGAAAAGCATTAGGAGTTAAGAAAATAATCCTCATCACAGAGAGAAACCATGTGGCATAATTTAACATTAACATGGAGGTTCAAAGAAAGTATATTCATTTCAGATACCCTAGGTAAAAATAGCTGAACCATAATTTAAGTGCAAAAAGAGAAGAAGAAAAACAGATACGATTTGAAAGAGAAGATTACAGAAAGAAGATCAGTAGACAACATAGTCCTACTTGAATGTACTATTAGAAATCCTAGGTTTCCCCGCATAGATTTTATGTCCTACAATGTAGATCATATGTACCTGTCCTATGCCAATTGTTTTAAATTTCCAGAAAACCTTGATTAGCTACAGGCCTACAGTCAATGTTTCCTTATCTGTGGCACTCAAGACAAAATTGTTGTGCCAAAATCTCAGCCAAAGTGTTGTTTATAGATAACAAACAAATTTTAGTAGAGAAGAAATACAGAAGTACAAAAGCCCCAACCATAAGGAGGGGGTCAAACAACAAGAATCGAACTCAAAAACAGCCAAGAAGTCTCAACAGAGCTCCAACACACTAATATGCCCCTGAACTTGCTTCTTAGTGTTCTTATCAAAATCCAATGAGCAGATCTAATGACAATCAAATCAAGAATGATATACTGCTGCAAATTAATGGAAAAAATTCTAGAATTTCTGACCTATCAAATTTTCCATAATTAACATCACGAGTACAACCTTACATAATATTGGAAAAAGAACTATATAAAAAAATATGAGTATAAGAAAGGAGACGTCATTGAGTACAAAAGACTCTGGTAGCAAACTCAAAAGAGGGGTAGATTTATTAATGGTCTAACAGTTAACATTATATAAGATGTACACACATGAGGGATAGCTTCCTAGACTTCCATATGCATTATCTCACAAGAAATGGTTTTCATTTGAACCATCTCCTGACAAAAAGGGTGGGGATTCTGGGGAACAAGTCAAATAGCTTCAACCAGAAAAACTGAACATTAGAGCATTAAGGACACTAATATGAGGGCCTTAAAGAAGCATGAACGCAAAGAAGGCCCTTTGGAGCCAACCATCCAAACCATCACCCACCATCTAAATGGCTATTTTGTTAAACATCAATAAACCTCTCTTGAGAAAACTCTGAAGGAGGCATAGGGAAAAGACTAAAAATCCTTTTACAGGAAAAGACATTTCCAGTTTTACTTCTTATGGATCATTAAATCTTAGTTTCTCTCAACAAAAGAAAAAAAAAATTAGTTTCCAAAATGGTTGCCGAGGGGTATTTCCTGCATTAGAAGAGTATAGACTTGAAACTTAATTTATTGAAGGAGAGGAGAGGGGAATATGGCCTGAATATTTGACTTTCCTAAGCATAAAACCAAAATTATCTTATGATACTCTCATGTAATATCTTAATCTTTGCTCATATATTTCCATGCCAAATCTTTACGGAACTTGACCTATAAGTGTGGCCCTCTCAATTAATTAAGCAACCCTATGCGTGTCCTTTATATTTTCATATACCTGCAATGGTATTTTGCTAGCATTTTCTTCATTAATCTTGTTATATTGCTTAATTAGCCAACACAAACCAATTTCTGTCAAGTGTTTTAAACCTATACTATACTGAGATATCACTCAACATTTCCCTACCAAATCTTGACATAACTGGACTCATAAGATTGCCCCCTCTCAATTAACTAACAGTTTCTCCTTTATGCTTGTGTACACCTGCAATAATACTTTCCAAAATTTCGCTAGCATTTTCTTCATCCTTATTTCTAACCTATAAAGCCTTCTGCATCTTTGCCCTTCTCAGAGCTTGTTTAACTTCAGATACTACATTCTACAGAAGCATGTGATCTTTGATATATTACCAGATGACTCCCAACTCCTGTAATGCTTAAACTCCCAACATGGTCATCATTTAACAATTTCTAGAAATAACTCCATAAATCTGTCATGCCTTACCAAGATCATATACTTGTTGCTCTAAGGTCTTAATTCTATTTCAGATTCCCAGACTTCAGCTCCCTGATTCTTGCAAGCTTAGAGACATCTAGGGCCCAAATTCTGAACTTGCACCTTGATGCACAAAGATGTGTTAAAAGTTCAATGCTCCAGAAACCAATAATATGTGGTTGGATTCAATGAAAAACAATTTTGGAATTTAATCAATTTAATAAAAAATCAAAGTTGTACATAGAACCAATCAACTAGAAAGTTTCAAAATGTCAATATTGGTATGAATTGAAGAAAGTAAATAGCCTTAATATGCAAGTCTCCTCCAAGGTCACCTTCTTGATGTGGACAGACACTCGGGATCAGATTTGCACCATTGATCACCTATTAAACAAGGGAATGGTCCTTGAAAATGTCTGTAGCTCATCTGGAATGGAACAGGAACTGATTATCCACCTTTTCATTCATTGCCAATTCACACACACGTGTTATGGTCCCACTTTCTTTGCTGCTCTTTTGGAGACAGTGGGTCACTCTCCTTAATCTCTCTGGCTTTCTGTCAGCCTGGACAGTTAGGGGGTTCTCAGCCAAAGAAAAGATTTTGTGGAATGCCTTGCCTTTTGCTCTTTGCTGGACTGTTTAGAAGGAAAGGAATAGTAATTTGAAATCAAATCATCCACTTCTGAAGCAGTGACCAACAAAGTTGAATGGATTTTGAGATGATGGCTGGGGTACTTAAGCCATTTTTCTGTGACCTTTGAGAATTTCAAGAGATCAGTGGAACACCACTATTTTTTGGTGGTTACTGGACTTTTTTTGTACCTTTTTCAGTTTTAATGTACATAACTGCATATCTTGTGGGGGCACACAATCTCACACTCAGTGTAAATTATGATTTTGAGGGCTCCTCGCCCATTTTACAGTAATACAATAATTTTTGTACTTATCAAAAAAAAAAGAAAAAGAAAAAAGACTGATCTTCAATTCCACAGTCCACTATGGTGCTGCATAAGTTTCTTTTTTTTTTTCAATCAATTTTCTGCATAAGGAAGTTCAACCGCCCATGGAGCATACACATATATGATATATCCATCTGGCTTTATTGGGACAGAGTTATCTGTGAATTCCATGATGATGGGATAATAAATCAGACAACATAGGAAATTACAGTCTCAGTAGGCAGTTTATCACATTCTGTCAAGAGTAGCTATTAGACATGTTTTTATAAATTCACATCCTTCAAAAGATACATTAGTATCTTTGACATGTTTACTCTTTATTGGCAGCTAAAATTTCTCCAAAGATGCCATTACAATATTGGGAATGTTGAAGCAATGTAAATACATCTCATCATGGCCAGAAATTAGTAGATCATCTCCAAGCCATGAAATGCACAATTTCAAGCAGAAAAAATCATTGATTAAAGTTGGGAATTTTTAAGGTACTAACCTACTAACTTAAGATCAGATATAAGAGAATAAGAAAACCAAAAGTCAACTAGGAAACTAAAAAAGAAGAAAAAAAAAAGAAACATAAGTGATACCAAAGAAGAATAGCTTCTCGCTAAAATCCAAAAGGATAATGGTTAGTTTGACTTGACACGAAGCATATCAGAAAAGCTGAATGTAAATTAACGCGTACTCGTATTTTGGCAGTCTGGTCCTGCCCGGACTCAAGAAGCTGAGCCAATTCTCTCTTTAACTGTTTAACTTGTGCATCTCTCTTATTCTTTAGAAGCTTTAAACGAGAGGCCGCAAGCTTCAACGATGTCTTGCTGCACATACAACAGATTGAAATAATCCAACCACAAGTCCAAAAACCCAAGTAAACTCAACCTTCACAACAAAACCCTAGAATTGTACGAAAGCCATAATAAAACCATAGAACCTAAATCGTTTATAGATTCAAAGATGTGCAAAAGCTATATATAACATGCAGAGAAAGGGGGAAAATATTAACTAAGTTCTCAAGAACCGATAGAAATTAAATTACCATTTCGAGGCCTTGAAGCTCCTACGAAGCATTTGTTTTGGAACGAAATGGATAAGAAATTATGCTTCTACCGAAGATGGATTTACAAAGAGAAATCGAGACTGAAGTTTGAGTTCTGATTTTAATGGTACAAGCAAGTAAATTAGATTTTCCAGCTGGTAGAAGAATTGCAGTAAGGGATCTGCGACTGAAGAATAAGAAGAGAAATCGATCGAAGTTTCGCAGAATTTTAATCTTACAAAAGAGTATATTACAAGAAAGTAAAGGATTTGCCGCGATTGACTTTGTAGCTTCTATTTTCAATCCTTTCAGCCTCTCGACACAACTGCGTTAAAACTTCAAAGAACTTAAAAATAAATCGTGGTCGGTCTCACGAGTCATCACAGAAAGTGAACCGCTGTCAGAGTGTCCTTGTCGTTATTGTGTGGTTTGCCACGGTCGAACCGTGGACCACCAGGCCGTATACACGGTTTGCTTTCAGGATGAAGAATGGGACGACGGGCGGCCGGTCCCAACTATCTTTTACGCGCTGCATCCTGCAGTGCTAGACTAAGGTCTAAGGTCTATGGTCTAACTTCTAAGGACACACGTCCCTCTGATTGATACATGGTCACATGGATTAAGGCCCAAAGGTCGTGGGATGTGCCTATGACTGAAGTCGGTGTGAGGTGCGCTCGGTGAGAGCAGATCCGTCGTGCAAAGAGAAAGGGTGAAGAATGGACCGATGGCGTAGGGTGCACGTAAAGGGCACTGACCTTGTCAAAGGTTTTAGTGCTTTACGCGGGTTTGATCCGCGCCTTTATTTTTGGAGGAACACAAGTCATACAATTAATCAATTATCCCTTTTTAGAATTAACTAAAAAAAGAGACCCGTGCGGTGCACGGACTGGTGTTAAAAATGACTAATGATGAAAATTGGAATATGTTCCTCACACAGGGCGCCTCACATTAAACTCACATGCACATTTCACCATGTATTGAGAATATCTTCAATGAATAATAACATAAATATGGGAGATATTCCTAATGCATGATGGAATGTACTTGTGAGGCGCAGATTCAGTCTCGTTTAACTATAAAATTTTATAAGGGTTGAGAAGCAATATGATGAATTTGACAGGGACAATTGCATTTTAAAATATAGTACTCATGGCCCATATAATACACAGGAAAACCTAATACCTAATATGATGACAAAAACGATAGCAAGTAAATGTAAATCTCACATTATTTGTGATGCATGTGCATTTTCAATGGAGTCAAAAAAAAAAAACCTTAAGCAAATATAATTAAATATAGGGAAAATATTTCTTAATTAAGTAGGGGTATAACTTGGGTAGGTCCAACCTAAGCCCATGCTAACTTAATTCATAATTTTACATGAATTAGGCTTGAATTTTTTATCACCAGACCAGGCTTGGGTCCAAAAGCTTAACCCTTGGGTAACCTGAACTGGCCTGATTTATCATAACCCAAGTTTGACCCAATTATATATATATATATATATATATATATATGTATACATACATACATACATACATACATACATACATACATACATATATGCATAATTTTTTTAGTAAATCATATGTACATATATGCATATGCATGCATACATATATAAACACATACATGTACATCAATTTTTAGTATGAGTTGATTCCCAACCCGAGTCCAATCCAAATACATTAAGTTTTAGCATGGGCCGAGCTTGAGTTGGATAGTTCAAGCTTGACCTTGGGCTTTGTCTTAAGCCCAATTCTTAGGATTGGGTTTTGGGTTGAGCTAAAACCAGGCCCAATCTGCCCAACTTGCACCCCTATAATTTGAGTGAAGAAGGAAGTGAATTCGGCTTCAGTCAAGGCAATGCTTCTTCCAGCAGATTTTACAGCCTTGCATTGGGAATATCTCCATACTTAGCCCTGACTGAAGCTAATCTCGGAGGGAATTCCCTTATGACAAATTATGTATTTCTGTCGCATGAAAATATCTTATGTTATGACGATCCAGACTGTCCATCAAGATTGAAAACCCAATCAGATTGGTGTTGGCTACATATTCAATTCCAATTCTGTAGTTTGTATCATCATATATCGATCCCGATTTATGTTGGTAGCTTTGAGATCATAATTGTCGTGATCACTGATCACACTATTTTCTTTATAATTGGTTTTCATCTACATGAGAGGAAACCCATGCGATTAGATTCAGTTTCTTAATAAAAACGAAACTAAATCAGCTGTTGATGAGTGGAGATAAGTTGTGATGTGGACCAAGAAAGCATTAATTCTCTGTACAAATGATTTACATATTTTAAGCATTTTCTGTAAACAGAAAAAGATAAAGGTTTGAACTTTGAATAGAACTTGATGAAGGAATGCCAAGGTTGAACCGAGATTTTGTTACGACTGATTAATAACCAGGGAAGCTCTTTGTTGACAAATGCAATGTTTAAATTTGAAACTTCAGATATTGGTGGGTCCCAAACGAAAGAAAAATGGTAGAGGAAATTCAACCGCAACCTGTGGGAAGCAATTTGATCAATATCTTATCAAGCTATCAACATGGAAAACAAGCAAACCAACAATGGTTTTCAAATTTAATTAGACAAAATGTCGCTGTTACCTATTTCGTCCATTTCCTAGGTATAATGAGAAAGAATATTGCATAAAACCTACTTTGGAGGTTCCTTGTCCTTTCCATAGAATTTTATGAGAAACCATTGACATAAAGCCGGATTGTTCAGAGATTGAGTCATAGCCCAATTTAGGGCTGCGAGGGAAGAAAATTTGGAACAGGCCAAGGCCATCTGGTCCTGGCCTGGTCAAGTATTCTCGGCGTGGCGGTCCCATTATTTGTCCAAATTAGCCTATCCAAATTCAGCCTGACAAAGGTTGTATGGATTAAGGGGTGGCTTAATGGAAAAACCTCAGCCTTCACCCTGACAGGATCTTCTGCAAGCAAAAAGCATGATTGAGATAGCACGTCATCAGCTACACGGCATGAATATCTCCTCATGAATTTTACATACAAGTGTGTGATAGATGTTTTCAATATATGGTTGGATGTTGTATGGTGAATTTATAAACAATCTTCTTGTGGCGATTTGAGAGATAATCCGGGGATATTTGGTACCATAGACAAAACCATGGATGGTTCATTTCAATCCATGCCAGTCCCTTATTAATATTCTTTGACATCCTAGGTGGACTAACTTACATTATCTTAATTCTTTGTCTACAGGTAAGGTAAACATCGTGGATCAGTCCACATCATGCTATATTTAAATATTTTCATGAAGTTTTATAATAAATGACTGAGGCCATGTTTGGAAGTTTTTAAAAATAAGTGTTTATTTGGGCCGGGACTACATCATTAAGCACTTATTGGTGTTTGGGAAATAAGTCTGGAATAAGTGCTTATTTTAAAAATAAGGACTTATTTTTTAAGTCAAAATTTCCAGCTGTTTTTAAGTGTTTATACAAAAAAGCACTTTATCATTTTTTTCTTCCAAAATTGTCCTTAGTTGAATTTTATAAAAGTACTTCTGTAAACACTTTTATAAAAAAATGCTTTTACATAAGCACTTTTATAAAAATATTTTTATAAAAGTATTTTCATGAAAGTGCTTTCGTAGAACTTTGCTGATAAGGCATCCACACCATGGTGGAAAACACTTAAGCTGAGTTTGGAAGAAGTACAAATGTAAATATGTAGAGTGCAAAACCTTATATTTTGTATGTATTTACGTTGTACATATTTGCATTTGTACTCTTTCCAAACTGAGCCTTAGTGTAAAATGGTTTCAACTTTCAACTACACAACAATGGGGCCACCACATGTACTTTTTCGGTAGACCGGTGTAGTTAAAGGGATAATATAGAAAGGGTACCTAACGTCATTTTCTGAAGTGGTGCCTAAGAAGTAACTAGAAAAGCCCTCAGGGTGAAGGGAATGATATAACACTTGGGCCCCGTTCGCTTTTCGATAAGTTACTTACCCGGGTAAATGCAATTACCTGGGTAAGTTTTTCCTAGGAAACACTTATCCGGATAAGTGCATTTACCCATGTTCTTTTATTTCTCAGGTAAATAATGTAATGACCATTTTAGTCATAAAAATCCATTATTAATAGGGGCATTTTTGTCCCATTGAAGTGTTAGCAACTTTCCTCCTAGGTGGGAAAATTATTTACCCACCTAGGATATGGGTATCGTTTATCTACCCAAGAAAATAAACTTTCCCTGGTCCCCACATTAATCTGAAAAATGATCATGGGATTCTTGGTCAATGGGAACCAAAATCCCATTGACCAACTTTCCCCCTCTCAAAATCCAAAAAAAGAACACCCCCTTAGGGTGAAGGAAATTATTTTCTAGAAAGAAGAGCAAATTGTGAAATAAACGTTTCTACATGATGTTTCTTGCATGTCTAACACAAGGAAAATGCCATTCTCCATGGAAGTCAATGTATAGAGTTATGTTTTCCATCCAACCAAGCACAATGGCTATTGATCTACTTTAACACAAGATCAATAATTCAAGGAAACGGTACAAGTTGACATGAACCACTTGGTGGGTTTTTCTTAATAGAAGCATAGAATATGAAATTAAACATTTCCTGTTTCACTTTGAACTGATTAACTATTACATAATAGAATCCTTGAAACAAAGTAAATACCATGTATTTCCAAGACTTGGTCTTTCACCTTCAATCTAAGTACTTGCATGTCAAAACTACAATAATAACTCCAATGGTTATTAATAATGATGGGGATTAACTGTTCAAAGTTTGCTTCAGAGTTCTTGGAATCCTAAAGCAGCAGCCAAGCGAAGTTGAAATATCATGAGCTCATGAAGGAAATGGGCCATCCTCTAAGAACCTCTCTCAAAATTTGTTGCCCAACCAATCATTATTCTAGAATCCCCTTCACTTGCAACAAACTATAGAGTAGAAGTTTAGCAGATCTGAGGCCCTCAAGGAGGGCTTGCACTTAAAGATGGACTACCATGTAAATAATTTTCAAAGTATTATTAAATAATTAAATAACTTATTCCAATAAATAAAAAATTATAATTAGGGGAAATTATTTTTCTGAAAATTAATTTATTCCAATTTAAGAATTTCCAAGAAATTAAAATTTAATAACTTAAATATATTCTGAAATGATTTTCAATATGTTCCCGAATCCATTATTTAAATAATGGATTTAGTAATTATTAAATAAGTGAGGTAAAATATTATGTAAATAATTATCTTTTAAACAATAAAGGTGAACTATTATGTAAAAAGTTTCTGAAATAATTATTAAATAATTAAGTAATTTACCCCCAGGAAATTAAATTTTTATAACTTGGGTAAATTATTTTTCTGAAAAGTAATTAATTTTAATTTAATAATTTATTCCAAGATATTAAAATTTAATAATTTGAATATTTTCTGAAATGATTTTCAATAATTATTAATTGAGGTAAACTATTATGTAAGTAATTATTTATTAAATGATTATTTAATACTTATTTTTTAAACAATAAAGATGGAATATTATGTAAATAATTTCTGAAATATTTATTAAATAATTAAACAATTTATTGCATAAATTAAAATTTTATAAATTGGGGAAATTAATTTTATGAAAATTAATATACTATAATTTAATAATTTCTTCCAAGAAATTGAAAATTAATAATTTAAATATATTTTGAAATAATTTCCAGTATATTCCTGAATCCATTATTTAATTAATGGTTTTAATAATTATCAAAGAATTTTTAATAATTATTTAATAAATGAGGTAAAGTATTATGAAAATAATTATTTATTTAATAATTATTTGTTATCTGATTATTTAGTAATTATTTTTTAATAATAAAGATGGACTATTATGTAAATAATTTCCAAAGCAATTATAAAATAATTTAATAATTTATTCCAATAAATTAAAGTTTAATAATTTAAATATATACTGAAATGATTTTCAATATATTCGAATCCATTATTTAAACAATGAATTTAATAATTATTAAATAATTATAGTTATTTAATAAGTAATTATTAAATAGTTGAGGTAAAATATTATGTGTATAATTATTTAATAATAATTTATTAAATAATGAGGTAGTATACATCTCAATAATTATTAAATAATTATTAATGTAAGAAATATTAGTGTAATAATTATTGTAACACTAATAATAATAAATATTCCAATAATTTTATTGGAATCTAATAATAATAATTTCTATTGTGTAATAATTATAATATCATAATTATTAAAAATATTTACAATATAATTATTATTTTTCATTATTGTAATTTAAGAATTATTATGTAATAATTGTTATTATTAAATAATGAAAAATAGTGTAATTTAATAATTATATTATTATAATTAATACCGAGTTGACCTTCTCGTCACTCACCGAGAGGTAGAGAGAGCTTTAGCTTGTATCTGGGTTCTAGCCTAGTTAGTAAGGGCGAAGAACTAAGGTATCTCTTAAGCTCGTCAAATGCGAGCTGACGCTCTATGATCCACTCGAAGTCTTGGGCTTTTTTTTATTGCTTTGAAAAATTGAAGGCATCGCCCAGAACCAAGCTGAAATTATTTTGTCACCTCACTTCTTGCCACTTCACTCCTTCGAGCTGCAGTAAGGAAGAGTTGCCTTTCTAAGGAAGTGGTGCTATACTGCTATCATAATTTTTACTCCCAGATTCAAGCTGCAATAAGGAAACATGTAGGTTTTGCAATTTGAACCTAACTTATGATCACCACATTTGTCACCCACTGAAGCATCCGAAACATTCAATGTCTTGGAAAGCAAAATTTGAATTTCTTCTGGAGTATCACTTTGTTCATGATAAGAAAACACAAATCTCTCAGAGGAAATAAAGGGTGATGCAAATCTGTTGCCAACTTTTCCATCTACTCAGCCTGGTACAATTGTTTTCCCAAATCACCATGGCTCCAAGAGACGTGCATTTGTGAGTATCAACCCATTTAAAACAGCCGAAGCCCAAACTCCGTCATCTATAGTACAAACAGTTTGGTTCATGGGAATAGAGGTATGGAATCAGAATCAGAATGGGCAATTCCGATTCCAACTATTTGGCTGGGAGGAAACTGAACCCATTCCCATTCTGTAGGGCCGAGTGGTGAAAGTTGTTAGGATCAATGTTGATTTGGGATCTTTAAGGGGGATTGCTGGCTTTGAATTTTAATGGATTTTGGCAGTGGGTTTTCTTTTTGTTTGCAAGATATGGAGAAGAAAAAGTATGTATTAAAAGGGATTGAAGGAATCTAAGGTGTGGGTGTTGGGCTATGAACTTTTGAGGGTGATATCTTATCACCTTCTTGTAATTTCTTATTCTTTAATAATATTTTTCTTTTTTATTTATTACCAAAAAAACCTTTCATTAGACACTGTTGAACAGAAAATGGAATGAAAATGAGAAATATGTTATTTACCAAAGGGTATAATCCTTGATAGAGTGGAAGGTCAAAACAAGATTCATCTAGTTAACACCACAGTTGGAAAAAGAGGGTTGGTTGAGTTGAGTTGAACCCATATGATATTTGTAGATTTGTCGCAATTCCCCATATAATGTCTAAATCACATCATATTGGCCAGATCAGATGGGTAACACATAAAAACTCTTCTACTGAAAGGTGACCGGGCACATTTAGGGTCTTAAGCATCAACGATGATGCCACAAGATATCGGCCATGACTTCCCCAAATCAGTTCTGCAACACTAATATTTCTAGCTTCTAATAGAACCTTCAAATTATTGATAAAAAATTATCTTCTGTTTCAAAAAACAATATGCATCGTTTCAATGGCCTCGTCCATATGAAATCATTCAGTTATATTATTTCCAGTTTCAGCATCACGAAGCACCTGTGACAAAAAAAAAAAGAGAAACAATTCTTAATATTTCAATCATGAAAAAAATGCCAATGCATATTGAATAAAAAATGTAATGTATGAAATACTCAACACCTTTTTTTATTATTAAGAAACAGTTTTGTTAAAGATTAAATAAGGATAAACAACATGGAAGAAAGCGCTCCCAAACAGAACAGACCCGGTACCAGCCACATTATCTCTGGCTAGCTTCTCAGCTAAAAAGCTGGTAGACCTCGGTATCCATCTGAACAAGTTCACTATGATGCCTAAAGTTTCATCTTGTCTCCCTGATTTTATGCCTCAAATGGCAATGGACCATGAGAATCAACCTCAATTCACCCAACAATTTGAGAATCCCCTCAACCTCAAATCCTTCGAAGCCCAAAAGATAACATCAATCTTAATCTCTGATTAATCAGTAAGAACCAAAGTCAGATATTCCTGAGGGACCCAGATTCCATAACCAACAGTAGGAAATATTTTCACATAGCCATTTTTGTCTTTTGAAAAGGTAAGGTATTGTACCACAGAGCCAATAACTCCATCATGGAGTTTATACAACAGTAGGTGCCATAAAAATGGGAATTTAAACTAAGATCCATAATAACCTGTTAACATGTATAAAAATAGTATGTGTCTAGACCAAAAAAAAAAAAGGAAAAAACACTTGGCTTATAGTTTATTACTGCATGTTAGGCAACAACCTTGACTCTACATCTTAGCAAAAAAACATTCCATATATATTTTTGCTGATCTGGCAGTTATTTTTGTTTTGAAAAACATCCCTGTGTAAATTATTTTAACCAAAAAGAGGAAAAAATATTCTGAAAATAAACCTGTATGGTTGTTCCTCTTCCATGCTGCGTGTGTTGTGCTTTCAGGACCTAAAACCAAATTGCATGTCAAACGGTCACTTTAAGCACCACTCTTTTGCAAACTATATTGAGATACAAGGTACCAAAACAACTAATATGTCTGTTATACAATTATCTCCACCATATTCAACTACCTGGTAAATATGCCCTGAAGAAGATAGCATGCAGAATTACGCAAAACAAAGACCAAGATATCAGTAAATCTATAATTTAAGCAATAATTCAACCTTCATTAGCTGCTAACAAGGATAATGCAACTGACCTTATCTTTGGATGACATTCCCAAGTCTGACCAAGTCTGACCTGAACCAAATCAAATCACAATTATGAATTTAAGTAAGATAAAAGAAGTTAAACTTAAAATACATCCATGATGCAATTCATAAGTTGATTCATGAGGGAATGGCATCCCATGTTTCAGCTCAATAATTAACAGGTTCTCCTTATTCCTTGTTTCCTTTCTCTTTTTCTTGGGGCGAGGGAATGTTTAAGTTTAACCGAAACAGAATACCTGCCGGTTGCAAGTTGCAACAAGATTTATTCAGTTAAATGAGTTACAGACTGAAGCCCAGTAACTTAAATTCTCATAATTTTAGTGCCCCCCATCAACTTTAACACATTAATATCTGAATAGCGGTAATATGATACAAGTGGACTGTTTATAAATACAAATCCAATTGCATTGATAAGCAGGATATCAATATTTTTCTTCTTTTCTAATTTAAAGAATTGCAATATCAGAACTGAATTTCTAATACAAGGAAAACAAATAAACAAAATAAGCATTATTTTTAGATAGATTGAATGAAAAAGATGTATAGTAGACTATGAATTAACTAATGAAAGTGTGGAAAAAGCATACATTGATAGGAACCGAGAACTTTGGCTCTTCGGTGTTGGATGGCCAACCATGGAGAGGCGAAAGTGCCACGTGCCAAGGAACAATTGGATGAGTTCGCTAAGGACGCGCAATGATGGCCAACTAAGGGGGTGTTCTGTACTGTGGTTGGGAAAAGTGTGGTGTGTTTTGGAACAAACCACCTCACCATGGTGTGTTTCAGAACCATGGTTCTAGAACACACCAGGTGTTCTGTAGACTGTGGTGTGGTGTGTTCTGGAACACACCACTACAAGAGAAGTGTTCTGTACCGTGGTGTGTTTTTAAAAGGCAATGATTCTGTGTATCACATGTAAAAGATAATTTCAATACAATGAGAAGAAATAGGAAATATGAAATCATTCTTCCACTATGAATAGGGTCATTTCTGTTGAGATCTGATGTCTGCATTTAGTCATCTAGAATATTTGATGCACCTTTCTACCCTCTTGAATAAAGGAATTGGTAAAACCATGGATGATGTCATAAGCACATGGGATCTACTGTAGATCAAATTTATCTTGCATGTTTTATTTATTATTAATTTCTTCAAGCAAAGTGTCTACTACAAATATTATTATATACAAAGTATGTATGTGGGCGGATGGGTGGGTGTGCAGGTGAGCTTGGGCCAAGTATATCTTACATTAGTGTGTTTCTCTCTGTGTTGTTAAGGCAAGCTCCACTGGAGCTTAGTGTCATTTGGCTGTTTCATATGATTTTCTGATACAGATCTAATTCAAAATCGGATGTGACCAAATCTATGCTATGCAATAAGCCTGTAAATCTCCACAACAGATCGTTTTCTCTTCTGGCTTCTTGTTATATTTTTGCATGTTGTCAGGTACGATCCCTATCAACCTGCAAAATTCTTGTTTCAGGAAATAGTATTCATACCTTTGACCAGTTTGAACTTCTTTCATTTATGGCCTAGTATTTTTCTATACTGAAACATTGATTTTTGAATTATTTCTTGCTTCCTAGTATCTTTTTCTTCAATTCTAGTTCTAAGCACTTAAAATTTAGACAGTTTCATTTATTGGAGGCCCCATCAATCAGCACCATGGATTAGATCTCACAGTACAATTCAATCCTACACATCAAACTCTTAGTTTTCAAATGCTAACAAGCTGATTTTCTTGAACTCCTGAGTTTCAGGGTTTAATTCTTGAACCCTAGACTCCTATGCATCTCAAATTTTTTGAGAAAAAGTTAGGTAATTGTATTAATGAGTATAACTGTAAACATATCAGCTGCCAGTCCACAAAACGCTCCATGTACAGCCGAAAACTATACAGAAAAGCCAACAAAAAACTGGTCTCTCCGGAATAAATACAAGAGACCCCCAACTAAATCAAGTAAACAAAAAACCCAGATCAAAATACTGATGATGAGGGATATGCTTAAAAGAGTCCTTGGATGACAGCCAGGAATATATAGTAGCCATTGCCCGAACCACCAACTCATCTAAGGAACACCTTTGACCTTCAAAAATCCTACTATTTCTTTCTTTCCACAGGACCCAACACACCACATGAGGGATCATACACCACGACACCTTACCCCTGTTGTTTAGGCTTTCCAAGAGAAAAGCAAGTCAGCTAGAGATTTGGGAAAGCATCGCCTGGCATTTAACAGGGAGCAGAAATGGCTGAACAGAAAATGAGCAACCTTACAATGAACAAATAAGTGATCCACAGATTCATCTTCCTCACTGCACATCACACATCTTATGGAGGGCAGCACCAGACCCCTCCTACTCAGCTGCTCCTTAGAAAGGCATTTACCATGAACTGCTGTCCAGATTAAGAAGGAGACTTTAGTAGGAATGTGAGGGAGCCAAGTCTCTTTCCATGGAAAAGCCTGAGATGAACCAGCACTCAGCTTCAAATAAAAGGACTTCACCAAGAAAATCACATCCCTAGCCCACTTCCAAATTCTGGAATCTTGCTGATTTGGATTCAGTTAATAATCCTGAATTAGTTGGAGCAGCTCTAGCAGATCTGAGACTTCCCAGTCATTGAGATGCCTCCTAAACTTTGGACACCAGTATCCTGAATTTCCACGCCACTCAAACTGATCTGCCGCCATCACATCCCTATCTTCTGCTATAAGGAATAGTGAAGGGAAAGTCTCCATTAGAGAAGAACTATTGCACCAAGTGTCTCGCCAGAACCTAATCCTGTTGCCATCCCCTAATTTTTGCCTTACCCCTTGGACAAAATGAGGACAAACCTTCTCAATTACTTTCCAAACTGAGCAGCCAGCAGAAGTGGGTGCAGGTCCAGGATCCCATCCATAGTTTCTAGTTCCAAACTTTTCCACAATTAGCTGCCTCCAGAGAGCTCAGGGGTTAGAATTGAAGAGCCAAAGCCATCTACCTAGGAGAGCAGTATTCACCTGCATGAAGCTTCTCACTCCTAAACCCCCTTCTGAAACAGGTTTGCAAATGATTTCCCACTTAACCTGGTGAATCTTCTGCTCACCATCCTTCCCACACCAGAGGAAATTCCTTTATAATTTTTCCAGCCAGCCTTTCAGCCACCTGTGCTGGGATTGGAAACAATGATAAAAAGTGAATAGGCAGATTAGCTAGAATACTTTTCAACAGAGTAATCTTAGCTCCCTTGGACAAATACCTGGACTCCCAACCCCCCAACTTCTTCTCTAGTCTTTCAATCACCGGGTCCCAAATGGACTTGGAGTGACATTTTGCTCCAACTGGAAGGCCCAGGAACCTAAAAGGGAGCTTTCCCACTTTACAACTGAGCGACACAGCAAGTTCCTGGATGTTGTTGACCTCCCCAACTGAGAAAATTTCACTTTTCTGGAAATTCACCCGTAGTCCTGAAATCACCTCAAACCACACCAGAATCATCCGAAGATATAGAGTATCATCTGCATACTGCAATAAAGGGACCTCTGTCCTGTTCCTTCCTCTGCCACTCTAAAACCTTCCAAACAGCCTTCAGCCGCAGCTGTTTTGGTCACTCTAGCTAGTGCCTCCACCACACAAATAAACAGCAGGGGAGAAAGGATCTCCCTGTCGAAGACCCCTCGAACTTCTAAAAAAGCTAGAAGATGACCCATTCACAAGTATATAAAATTTAGCAGTAGATATGCACATTCTGACCCAATTCCTCCATTTCTGGCCAAAGTTCATTTTCCGCAACACCGAGTCGAGAAACCTCCAGTTTACATGATCATATGCCTTTTCTAAATCAATTTTGCACACCACCCCATTACTGCCACTCCTTAACTTCGAGTCTACCAGCTCATTAGCAACTAGAACACCTTCTAATAATAGTCGATCAGGCACGAATGCCCCCTGCACACCTGAAATGATCTCGGGAAGTACCTTCCTCATTCTATTAGCAAGGGTTTTCACCAGAACTTTGTAGAAACCTCCTAGGCTCCTACCAAACTTATGGGTCTATAATCAGAGAGACGAATAGGGTTCTGAACCTTTAGAATCAAAGTTATAAACGTAGCATTTAAGTTACGCTCCAAGGAGGCTCTGTCATGGAATTCTGACAAAGCCTTCATCACATCTAGCTTCAGGAAACTCCAACATTTTTTGAAGAACAGCATTGTGAAACCATCATGTCCAGGGGTCTTCTCTCCCTCTAGGCTTGTGATAACCCCCCAAACTCCCTCTTCTGAGAAAGGTTACTCTAAGTCATCTATATGAATATTGAGAAAGGTTACTCTAAGTCATCTATATGAATATTGGAAATGGCTTCAAAAAGGCTCCCATTCAAACCTGGACGGACTGGCCACACTTATATAAATTCTTGAAGAATTTCACCACCTCCTTCTTAATAGAGGCTTCATCCTCAATAAGCCTGTCCCCCACCTGCAGCTTCTTCAAAGTATTTTCCCTTCTTCGGCAATTTGCAACTGCATGGAAATACTTTGTATTCCTGTCCTCCGTCTTCAGCCAAGAGATTTTAGCCCGTTGTCTCCATTTAATCTCTTCCTGGTAAGCTACTTTATCAAAACACATTTTGGCCTCATTCCTAGCTACCTTCTCTTCTTCAGATAGGTTCACAAGCTCCTCTTTTCTATCCAGCTCTTCAATGGTGCTTAACAACTCTCCTTTCTTTAATTCTACTGCCTTAAAACTGTTTTTCTTCCAGTCTAGGATTTTCTCTTCCAACAGCTGTAGCTTCTTAGCTAGGATATGATCATATGAGATCCTGAACCTTCTACCTCAAAGGACAGCCACCGATCCTTCAACATTGCTTCAAAACCAGCCTCCTGAAACCAAAGATGTTCAAACCGAAACGGACCCGGCTTCCTCCTCAGGCCCTCCCTCCTAAGAAGAATAGGCCTATGATCAGACACAGGCCTTGGTAGGGCTTCCTGAAACAGGTTAGGAAACCTTTCTTCCCACTCTGTTGACACCAGAAATCTGTCAAACTGA